CCCCAAAACCCCAAAACCCCAAAACCCCAAAACCCCAATTTTATTTTAAAAATTGAACTAGTTATGAATTAAATACGAACACATCATTGAATGCCATCTGGTATCTGTCGCCTCCGAAGACCACTAGTTTATTTTCACAAGCAGTAAGAGTAGCCCCATCCCTAGGGCATGGAATCATCATTGGAATCCTAGTAGTCTTGTGGATATCTATATTTTGCTGAAACTGCTTCTTTTTCATTAAACTGTCTGTTTGGCTCACCTTGGAATTATTCTTCAAAAATATTGAGCTTTTCAATGCGAGGGTTGTGGGGGAATCCACTTCAACCTCCTCGTCCTTGATCTTATTTAGATATATTCACATTTTTCTTTAACATATATAACGGAGAAAGCTGGAATGTTTTTGAGAACTTCTCCTTATCTGGGACTGGATCAACCAAAAATTGGTTATTTCTTCCCTCTTTACGACGACTATTTGAAATATTTCTTTTCATATGATTTTTCTTATCTATACCGTATAATGCCATATTGGGTATCTTAGTCAAACTTTTCTTCTTTTCTTCTCTCTGACTGTTCATCAAGGAGTCCTTACTATTGCTTAAAGGCCGGATATCTTCAGGGTTCGAGACTTTCAACTGGATGGTTGTCCAGACCTCCTTATCCATATTAAAGCAGTAGAAATCGTTAGATTCATGAGTGATTCCTTCCAGGCCCCCAAAAATATACATCATATTACCTATAGAACAGCAAGCATGGCCTGAACGCTTTGTTGGTTGTCCGTCTTCACAATCTTGAGAGGCGTAATTAATAATGATCCATCTTCGCTCCTTGAGGTCAAATTTCCACAAATCATTTAACTTGTTATTTGCTTCATCTGAGCCTCCAAAAACATACATACCGTGTTTATAATAAACGGCAGTGTGGCAAGTCCTTGGCCTTGGAAGGTTAGTGCAGGTTTCCATAATAGTATCAGTTATAACATCATATTCATTCATATTCTGCTTTATTTCTTCTAGTTTTTCCTTACTTTCTTCATCAACTTCAAGTTCTATTTCGTTCCAATGATTTTCTTCAAAAATGTACTCGAAAGTTTTACTGCTTTTAAGGGATTTGTAGTAACCTCCGAAGATGATCATTTTATCAGCATCCCCACTATCTGATTCTGGATAAAGGATTGCAGTGTGAGAGTCGAGCTCTAAAGGGGCTATAGGGCTCGTGGTTATAATCTTGGTACATCTAGCTGTAGACTTAGCAAAATTCATTCTTGTGTCAGAAATATCGATATTAAAAGAACTTCCCTAGCTGAGAGTTATTTCACTCTCCTCCTAGACAATATATTTTGTTATCCCACAGCAATGCAGAATGCCTAGAAATTCCTTTCGGAGGGTCCCCAATTATTTCGATTTCTCGCCACTCAGGAGACATCTCGGAGAGATCGATGGAGAACATGGTCTTCATGTCGCCTTCTTTGATGTCATAGCCTCCATAGATGAAGACTCTGCTACCTGAACTGATCCCTGTGTGGTAGCTCCTTCGCTCTGGAAGCTTGCCAATACACCTCAGTTGTTCCCATTTGTTCAGGATTTGTTCTGGAATTGGGTTTTCTTCAGTGGCATTTTGGAGGATCTCGTCTGGCTTGATGTTGGCATTGACTTGATGCTTTTCTTCTTCTTGATTCTCACTTGTTGCTTTGTCGCTCGAGGATACACTTGACTCTATAGCGAGTAATTTAAATGCTCTCTTGCAATTCTGGTCTTATTCCAGGCTGATTCAAGATCATAAATAAATTCTTTAACATAATAAATCCAAGACAAGCATAATACACTAGAGATGTATCTGAGCGGAGTCAGGTCTAACTGTCATGGTGGCTTACCTGAATTCATTTTAAATTCGTGTTGAATTATTTATATAGTTTGTTCAATCATTTCTAAGATTATTGGGGTTTTGGGGTTTTGGGGTTTTGGGGTTTTGGGGTTTTGGGG